TTTTCTGTTAATAGATTAGACACTCAGCAGTAGTGACAGCAAGATCAGCCTTGCCATGAAGTCCACATTTTTGAGCCCAATCATAGACTCTGCCCTTGCCACCACTGAGAGCCCACTGGGCAAGTGCTAGGTAGCTAGGAAAAGAGGCTGACTGATATCCTCAGAGAGTATCATTTTGTTCATCTGATTATTGAGAGCCTCCTCTGTATTGGATACTTCGATGAGTATTTTCTAGGACACAAAATCTTCATAGCCTGTCCCCTGAGAATTTCATCCACACATCTATTTTCTAGCTTCCAATATTTTATTCCTGTTTCTTCGAAGTCCCTATCATTCAGTTAGCCATTACTAATGAACCAGTGTAAATCTGTACATGCGATCATCTCTCACTTCAAAGTGGAAAACCAAATAGACTGCTTGAAGTGCTGCCCACGGGGAGATTTTACCTACAATGCTGTTTTTTGGGGGGTCACTCCTGAGTGGGGCTGTAATACTTTCAAGTAGGTACCAACATATCAATAGAAACTTAAGTCTGACTCACAATTTTTTCTTCCTCAGTGAACTGATAATAAGGAACACCCATGAGGCCACAGATATAGACCGAGAGAGGAAAGAGGCATTGCAGCAAGAATTTTTTAAAGAAATTTGAGGCACCTGTTCATGTAAATTACTTGTAACTTCCAGATCTTTCAAGTTTGGTCTTTTCCATTTGATACATTGCTGCTGTGCACACCCAATCTCTGGCTTGGTTAGTCATGTAACTTTCAGTTCATGATAGGAAGCTCAGGACACATAGTTACCTGATACCCTGTAGTTAGGCATTTCCTCTCTAATAAGGGCCGGTAGCAAGCAAGAAGCTGATTCTCAAAAGGAAAATAATTATCTATAAAGAGGACATAGATTTGCTCTTAAGTCCTACAGTTCTGCAGTATGATTCTCCTTTGGTAGCTTCCAGAGGATCCATAGAGCATTGCTATTTACCATATACACTTTGAGTATTATTGGATTCATTAGCCATCAACAGAAATCTCCACAGGCTAAAACATTGTGATTATCAGTACATTCCTGCTGTCCTTTTCTGTAAAAGCATCTACCTTTACAATCCAGAGGTGGGTTGGTTAAGTGCTGCTACTTGGCCTCTGCTTCTCCATGATTATCTCTGTTAAATCAGGGAGGCTGTGTCAGTGGCAACATCTCCTGTGGCAAGGGTATCCAATCTTTTGGCTTCCCTGGGCCACATTGGAAGAAGAATTGTCTTGGGCCACACATAAAATACACTAACACTACCGGTAGCTGATGAGTTTTTAAAAATCGCAAAAAAAATCTCATGATGTTTTAAGAAAGCTTATGGATTTGTGTTGAGTCATATTCAAAGCCATCCTGGTCTGCATGCCACCCATGGGCCGCAGGTTGGACAAACTTGTACTACGGTCATTGCTGACTTACGTGTGAGAACAGTCATAGAGCTTTTTGAGATGTAGATGCTGCCCTTAATATGTTTTCCAATGCATTAGTGAAGGGACTATAATATGTTTTTCAATGCATTAGTGAAGGGACTATTTTCTAGACTTTCTTGGGGGGTATAGTTGGGGGATGGATGTGCAGGTTGCATATGAAAAATCTATTCAAACATTCTTACCTCCCTGAGCTTTTAGATTCATTCCTCTCCATGAGGTGTCAGCCCATGGGTCAAAGCCAGCCCACCTCCTGATTTTGTAAATAAAGTTTTATTGGATCACAGCCATGCTCATTCATTTATGTATCATCTAGGGCTGCTTTCACACTATGATAGCAGAGCTTAGTATTTGTGACAGAGACCATATGGCACACAAAGTTGAAAATATTTACTATTTTGTTCTTTAAGAAAATGTTTGCTGATCTCTGTCCTAGAGTATGCTGCAGTTTGACCCACGTTATGAGTAGTGACAGCAAAGGAGGGGTTGTGGTAATTCTTCAGAAAGATGAGCATTTCCCTGCAGGGCAACTGCCCCAGAAGGTCAGACTTCTCAGACACAGGGAAAGCAAGCTATTTGCACTCGAAAGTGAGACTCAGAATAACACAGAAATTTGAGTTTCTCAGCTTTATTTAAGTCCAACCAGATATCCCCATTCCAAGTTTCAGAGTGCCCAGTTAATACCTTAACTTTCACATAAAGAACTTGGCGAGGCTGTCAATTCAATTGACATTGTAAATTTGCAACTCACACAATTAAATTTGTGTTTAATGTTTAGTAGTATCAGTCCTGTGGATTTAAGATGCCAGAGATTGTTTTAGACTTGCCATGGAAGCATTCTCTATTGAGACCACAACTCATGCTGATAGTTTAAGCACCCGAGTTTTACTTCTTTCTGTAAATGTTCCACACCGTCAGTAAAATCTATTGCACACCACAGTCCTTATCATCATCACTATGGTAATGCTAAGGGCAGCAGCCTCATGGGCTCCCAAGGTGCTTAGCTCAGTAGACACTTATCTCAGTAGACACTTTATTATAATCAACAACAGGAGATAACTTGATTAATTGTGATACCAATGTATACCTTGGGTTGTTAGCATTCCATTTCCCGTTGGTAAGGGCCCAGCACTGTGCTCAAGCCCAAAGGCATAACTAAGCCAATCCATCTTTGACGGTCTCTCTCCGGAGACCACTTCAGTACCAATTCTCTATCTGTCGGGAGACAGAAATTACCCCCAGTAATTTGAACATAAAATTTAATACGACATGTTAACTAATTAAAGGTGGTTAACTACTAAAAGGCATAAAAGAGGATTCTAAGGGGTGTCACCCATGGGCTGACACCCGATGGAGAGGAATGAATCTAAAAGCTTAGGGAGGTCAGAATGTTTGAATAGATTTTTCATATGCAACTCAGAAGTAGCAGCTCCAAGCAGCTGCAACCCATAGGACTAATGAGGAATTAACCTCATGGAGGGGAAGGATGGACCCTCCATTGACCCTCTAGCTCCAGCACATGGTAAGAGGGAAGAAGTCTTTTCCTTGTGATTTGCCCTTGCAGTGTCCCTCCAGTGTATCTACTGGAAAATTCAAGTCAACTGGCAAGAGAAAACATACTACAGCATCCAGTTTCAGGATCACATAGCAGGAAAAAGAAGGCTGGATTTGGAACTGAGAGGCAACCAATTAATAACAAACTCTTAACCAGTTTATGGTTGTAACTACTATCTGTGTGCAACTGTGTCCCATATTATATCTCGTCTGTTCTCCCTTGAGCTCCTGAAAAGGATTCATATATTAAATTGTCTCCTTCATGTCTTCGCTTGAACTTCTCATAGGCATCTTTAACTTAATTTGTACAGAACTAAGCACTGGTTCCTCTAGTTTATCCCATCTCAGTAAATGGCATCGCCACTCAAGCGAAACCATGCCCTTGATGCCTTTCACCCCACAGCCAGTTGGTCAAAGTTCTACCAGCTCTGTCTTTGAAATATATCCAAATCTTACCACCTCCACTGCTGCCACCCTGCTCCAGGTCACCATCATCTCATGACTCTCAAATCTGAGAAATCATATGTTAGATTTCTTCATTTCCAATGTATGCTTGATAATTAAATGACTACTTGTTCTCAATTTAATCTATAACTTTTCATTCGATATATACCCCATCCTTTCCTCATCAGATTTCATACAAGATACCAAAATCCTTAGGGCTTTTGAATATGTTTGCTGCAACCCTTGCTGTTAGGGTAAGTCTTTTTTGTGTTTATCAGTGCAGCACTAAACCTTATTTTTACTAATTAATGTTAACATCATTAATGACATTAATGAATGATATTAATTTTATCATTAATAATAAAATTATCATTTCATATATGGTTCTGAAACTTATATAGATAAATATATCTTCCTACTGTTAATAATGGCCTATTATCAGATTTTTAAAAATAGTTTCGTAGGCCAGGCGCTGTGGCTCACGCCTGTAATCCCAGCACTTTGGGAGTCGGAGGCAGGTAGTTCACCTGAGGTCAGGAGTTTGGAACCAGCCTGACCAACATGGTGAAACCCCATTTCTACTAAAAATACAAAAGTAGCCAGGCCTGGTGGCACACGCCTGTAATCCCAGCTACTTGGGAGGCTGAGGCAGGAGAATCATTTGAATCCAGGAGGCGGAAGTTGCAGTGAGCTGAGATCACGTCATTGCACTCCAGCCTAGGCAACAAGAGGGAAATTCCATCTCAAAAAAAAAAAATCATTTATATAAAGATGACTTATTTCTTAGATTTTTGTTTTTTTGGAAAGGAGCTACAAAGGTAAAACCTACTCTGCAAAAAACTTCCACGTATATCATTGGCTTTTTATGTTAATTAAAATCTCATTAGTTTTCATCAACTTAATTTCTTTTAAGGTAAATATCTGTACTTGCTTTTGTTGTGTTCAGAAATGAGTTTCATTCCTGCTTAGAATTCCATACCATTGACTTCTATAGAAAACTTTCATCTGTATCTCTTGACTCCTTTTTAATATTGATTTGAGGCCATAATAAAAAGGCAACCTTTTTGAAATAATAGATTCTTTTAGCAAATACTTTTTTTTTTTTTTTTTTTGGAGGCAAGGTCTCACTCTGTAACCCAGGCTGGAGTGCAGTGATGCAATCATAGCTCACTGCACCCTCAACCTCCTGGGCTGAAACAGTCCTCCCGCCTCAGCTTCCTGAGTAAATGGGACTACAGGTGTGTGCCACCATGCCTGTCTATTTATTTATTTACTTACATACCTGTCTTCCCTTCCCTCTTCTCTCTTCCCCCTTGCCCCTTGTCCTTTGCCCCTTGCTCCTTCCCCCTTGCCCCTTCCCCTACTCTGTCTGCTGGTAGAGATGGGGTCTTGCTATGTTGCCCAGGCTGGTCTTAACCTCCTGGCCTCAGGCAATCCTCCTGCCTCAGCTCCCCAGAGTGCTTGGATTATAGGCATGAGCCACCACACCTGGCCCATACTTTAAAAAAAGGAGGGGGGGGATTGCCTAATATACTCTTTCTCTTTCAGGTGGGAGGTGTTGCTGTTTTTCTCCTGATGGTAAAGCTTTAGCCGTAGGTCTCAACGATGGAAGCTTCTTAATGGCAAATGCAGATACTCTAGAGGATCTTGTGTCTTTTCATCACAGAAAAGATATGATTTCAGATATTCGATTTTCACCTGGTAAGATCCATTGAAATTGTATTTGCGTATTAACTTGGGTCTGGCAGTGTATAAATGTATCATGTATAATTTTTATTAACTGTTACATTATCTGAGAACTTAACTTTTTTACTAGAGGAGGCAGCGTAGCAAGAGGTAAAAGCCCTGTTGTTAGATTGGCGCAAATATCTGTCTTAGTGCCAATTCTGTTACTAAATTTTCTGTGTGACTTGAGCCAGGATGCTTTTCTGAGCTTTCGTTTCCTCATCTATGACATAAAAGGGGCTAGATAACTGTTTTCATTATATTCTTAATGCTTTTGAAATTGCACTCATTTTACTCCATTAACTTCCATGTATTCATTATCTACTACAAACCTACTGTAATGCAGCAATTACTAATGTTAAGGCAAATTTTACTTATGTTGGTTTAGTTCCATTTTTTTCTAAATTTAGAGGGAGTTTTTTTAAATACAAAGTATCAAAACTACATCATACATAGTTTTTGACATTTGCTTCCCACTGAACTAATTTGTTACACTAAAAAATTATTTTGTTAAGTTTAATATACTTGAAAAATGTTATCATTTGTCATTTGACACATCTGTCTTCTTATTATAAAACAACTAAGATTCCTCCATAAAGAAAAGGAAAATTAACTCTAGTTGCAGAGTGTAAAAAAGTATTTCCAAAGATAGAAAATGTCAAGCAAATATGTTTCTATTATAGGTTCTGGGAAATATCTTGCTGTAGCATCCCATGACAGCTTTATAGATATATACAATGTAATGAGTAGTAAACGAGTAGGAATATGCAAAGGAGCTACCAGTTACATAACCCATATTGATTGGGATATTAGAGGTAAGACTTTAAATAACTTAATATTTGATAAAAATTTCATTTGATTTAGTATAGCTATATTAGAGAAACAGAAAAGTGATTCAACAGATGAGTTTAAAAGAATTGGGGAAAGCAACCATTATTCTCAAAATTATTTTTTACTATTTTACATCTGAAGATGAACACTATAGAGTTGAGACTTTTTCTTTTTTCTTTTCTTTTTTTGAGACAGGTCTCATTCTGTCACCCAGGCTGGAGTGCTGTGGTACAATCACAGTTTACTACACCCTCGACCTCCTGGGCTTAAGTGATCCTCCCAACTCAGCCTCCTGAGTAGCTGGGACTACAGGCATGCACCACCATGCCTGGCTAATTTTTAAATTTTTTGTAGAGACAGAGTCTCACTATATTGCCCAGGCTGGTCCCGAACTCCTGGACTCAAGCAGTCCTCCCACCTTGGCATCCCAAAGTTCTGGGATTATAGGCATGAGCCACTGCACCCAGCCTACACTTTTCAATACTTCACCTAATATCATTCAAATAATAGTACAATAAGTGATTAGTTGTTTAATTTGTAAAGTAATTTAAATATTATGCAAAAAAATTGTTATGATGTATTGATCTCTGCTATATAAATTTGATATAAATAGACTATAGAAATGTTGGCCAGGTATGGTGGCTCATGCCTGTAATCCCAGTGCTTTGGGAGGCCAAGGCTGGAGGACTGCTTGAGCCCAGGGGTTTGAGACCAGCCTGGGCGTCAGAGTGAGACCCCATTCCTAAAAAAAATGTAACACATTTTTAAAAAGAAATGTGTTTTTTTTTTTTGAGACGGAGTCTCGCTCTGTTGCCCAGGCTGGAGTGCAGTGGCCAGATCTCAGCTCACTGCAAGCTCCACCTCCCGGGTTTACGCCATTCTCCTGCCTCAGCCTCCCAAGTAGCTGGGATTACAGGCACACACCACCACGCCCAGCTAATTTCTGTATTTTTAGTAGAGACGGGGTTTCACCATGTTCGCCAGGATGGTCTCGATCTCCTGACCTCGTGATCCACCCGTCTCGGCCTCCCAAAGTGCTGGGATTACAGGCTTGAGCCACTGCTCCCGGCCAAGAAATGTTAATTAAGATTTTAAAGTCATTTTTCTCATTGTCTGATATGAAATATATTCTTTAAAAAGAGTCATAATCATATAAAGAACTTAATGAGTATCTTTGTATTTTAGCAGAATGCATGGCATATTACTGAGTTTAATATGTTTGGTAAATGTTAAGTATTTTAAATGCTCTCTTTTTAAGGATGTTATTGTTTCATGTATTCAGCTGTATAAATTGAGCATCATAAAGTTTTTCTAAATATAGTTAAACGATACTTACACTTTAAAAAATATTTTAACATTTGTTTCTAGGAATTTTTTACATATGCATAACCAAAGAAATCATTTTTATGTATATACATATACAAAAATCAAACCACTTATGAATTTAGTTACTTAATAATGTAGAATTATAAAAATAAAATGCTCTTACTATATGTTGACTGCAGCAGAAAATAGGTTTTATATTTAAGCTGATTTTTTTCCCATAAAACTTAAACATCATACTGATGGTATATGTATTTATATGTATTTTATATGTGTAAATATTTTTAAAAATTTTTTTTAAGGAAAGCTTTTACAGGTCAACACTGGTGCTAAGGAACAATTATTCTTTGAAGCCCCCAGAGGGAAAAAACAAACCATCCCGAGCGTGGAGGTAGGACAGCAGTGGTGCTTGTAGTGTTGTTTATGTGAATAAGAGTGGCTAATAAACTGATACTTACTTTCTATCGTTTAGTTACACATGAAATCTGTTCTCAAATTATTAAAATAATGGATATTCTTGAGTTTATTGAGTCAGAATACATGGGTGAAGGAAGAAATACTGTATTAATAAAAGGAGTCAGCGGGCATGGTGGCTCATGCCTGTATCCCAGCAGTTTGGAAGTCTAGGTAGGCAGATTGCTTGTGCTCAGGAGTTCAAGACCAGACTGGGCAACATGTTGAAACCCCATCTCTACAAAAAAATACAAAAAGTTAGTTGGGCGTGGTGGCATGTGCCTATAGTCCCAATTACTTGGGAGGCTGAGGTGGGAAGACTGCTTGAGCCTAGGAGGTGGAGGCTGCAGTGAGCCATGTTCATGCCACTACACTCCAGCATGGGTGACAAAGTGAGACCCTGTATTTAAAAAAAGGAATAAATCACTTGTATGGCTAGCTATGCTCCGTTACTTTCCTCAAAAGACAAGAAGTGTGAAATAGCAGATAGAAGACGTGTCATTCTAAGATTGGAGTACTGCATATCTGTCATGTCCTTAGGAATCCATATGCCTAAGATGTTTGTTGGCAGATTACTGTTTTTGTTTTTTTTTTAAAAAAGAAAACAAAACAAGAAAAATTGTGTTGCATTTTGTGCCTGACAATATTAGCCTTTTTTTTTTTTTTTTTTTTTTTAAACTTGACCTAGGAAGAGAAGCTTAACAAATTTAACATGAAAGTGGCTTAGTGAAGGGAGGGACCATAAGTAAAAGTTCTAAATTTCTTCTAAGGGTTAGTTGGAAAACATACTTATAATGCATTATTAGAAATTTAAATGTGAACTGTAAGAATCTTACTTGATTATCCTGAAGTCAGAAACAGTTTTATTATTAACACTGTATGCTTAGCATCTAGAACACACAGTGGATATATGATTATATTCTGAATAATGCTATGTTAAAATTTTCTGCAGCAACTACTAGGCTCTGAGGAGCTATAAAACCAAGACAACTAATAATTTAACTATTTTTTCATTAAAACTTTCATTTTACTTTTGACACACATAATTACAAAGAAAAATGTTTACATTTTGGTTGTTAATATTTTAGGTTTGGATAATCCAAACTTACAGCATTGTTTTTCCTTCTTAGGTAGAAAAAATTGCTTGGGCATCATGGACAAGTGTACTTGGTTTATGCTGTGAAGGAATTTGGCCAGTAATTGGAGAAGTTACAGATGTAACTGCTTCTTGCCTCACGAGTGACAAAATGGTTCTAGCTACTGGGGATGATTTGGGATTTGTGAAGTTATTTAGATATCCTACTAAAGTATGTGTTTTTCTTTAACTTTCCTAATGATTATAAATTATGAAATGGTTAAGGTAATGTCCTGTCATAGCACTTCATTGTTATTAATTGTACATATGTAATACGTAATGTTGTAATATCAAAGGTTCAGAATTATGTTTCATATCTATAGCTTTTAAGTATTATAATTTATGATCCCATGCCTTAAGTTATATATCATATCCTATAGTGTTTTTCAGTATTGACTAATATGAATATCCCTTTTACAAGAAACATCTTGGCTGGGTACAGCGGTTCATGCCTATAATCCCAGCATAATACTTTGGGAGCCTGAGGTGGGAGGATCACTTGAGGCCAGGCATTTCAGGCCAGCCTGGGCAGCATAGCAAGACGTCCTCTCTACAAAACAGAGAAAAAGATTAGCCAGGCGTTGTGGTAATGCCGGTAGTCCTAGCTACTCGGGAGGCTAAGGTGGGAAGATTGCTTGAGCCCGGGAGTTGGAGGCTACAGTGAGCTGTGGTCATGTTGTTGCACACCAGCCTGGGTGACAAAGCAAAATCCTATGTCAAAAGAGAGAGAGAGACATTCCTTTTATCCCCAATATTAACTTCAATAATTTTTCTATTTTTGATTAAATATATACTATTAACAGTAAATATAAACTCTTTATAGTTACAACTTCAAACTTTAAGTTGTTTTAACCAATTAAATAGAAAATACTTAACGCTTGTAAAATTAAACACCATTGATTTAATGTAATGATTGACTTTTTTGTTGAAACCAAATAATACAGATTCTTTTTTTTTCTGCTTTCGTAGCAGAATTTATGTGCATTTTAAATCGTCAGCATCATTTGTTCATGATTTTCTGCTTAAAATTGGTATTTACTTGCTGCTTATGTATATTAAGATTTTTGTTGTTGTTGTTGTTTTTGAGATGGAGTCTCACTTTGTTGCCAGACTGGAGTGCAGTGCCGCGATCTCAGCTCACTGCAACCTCTGCCTCCCGGATTCAAGCTATTCTCCTGCCTCAGCCCCCTGAGTAACTGGGATTACAGGCTTGCACCACCATGCCCGGCTAATTTTTTTTGTATTTTTAGTAGAGATGGGGTTTCACCATGTTGGTCAGGCTGGTCTCGAGCTCCTGACCTTGTGATTCCCCCACTTCGACCTCCCAAAGTGCTGGGATTACAGGCGTGAGCCACTGGGCCCGGCCAACAGGTTCTTTGACATTCTACGTACCTATGTTACTGTGTGCTGTGCAAGTACTTAATTCTTTTATCACTTCCCTCTGTTCAAACTACTGTAAAATATTAGGCTTTTGCTTAACACAGAAATAAAATTTATATATCAAGTCCAGATACAATGCATTCCTTTCTCTTTTTTTTTTAGACAACGTCTCTCTCTCTCTCTCTCTGTCACCCAGGCTGGAATGCAATGGCGCAATCATGGCTCACTGCAGCCTTGACCTCCCAGACCCAAGTTATCCTCCCACCTCAGCCTCTTGAGTAACTGTGACCACAGGCACATGCCACCATGCCTGGCTAATTAAATTTTTTTTTTTTTTTGGTAGAGATGGGGTTTCCAGATGTTGCCTATGCTGGTCTCAAACTCCTGAACTTAAGTGATCCTCCTGCCTCGGCATCCTAAAGTGGTGGGATTACAGGCGCAAGTCACTGTATCTGGCAGCAATTATTTCTTAATTCACAAATTAAGTTATATATTATACTCTGGCACCACCATGAACATAAAGATAAATTTGAAATAGGGCATGAAATCATATTGTGGTATTCAGTTCCTGGTGATCTTAAGTGTGGTCATACTGAACTTATTTTTTAACCTGTTGTTATTACTTAGTAATACTTTGAAAACATCATTACGTATAATTAAATATTCTTCTACATCATTTTTCTGGTGCTCATATTAATATTTTTAGATCAGCATTGAAATGAAAACACGGGTTTAAAAATTCTCATTGAAAACTCAGACACCCAAGAAAATATTCCACAGATTCCTGTTTTAGATACGTATAAATGGTAGGGTCTTAGTTGTTAACAGTGTGTTCCTCCAAAATATTTGCCAGAAACGTCACTTCCAGCATTCCAGATGGTGTAGATCCCTAAGGAATAGGTTCTGGGATATTGGTCTACAGATTATTTTTTCACCTTAGTGTAGCAAGAACCACACAGTCTTAGAGAAACTACCTTCTTGCCATGCTTTGATGACAGATCCCTCACAACTTTTATTAAGAGTCATTAGTCCTGCCAGGCGCAGTGGCTCACGCCTATAATCCCAGCACTTTGGGAGGCTGAGGCAGGTGGATCACCTGAGGTCAGGAGTTCGAGACCAGCCTCGTCAACATGGTGAAACCCCGTCTCTTAAAAACAGAAAAAATTAGCTGGGCACGGTGGCGGATACCTGTAATCCCAGCTACTTGGGAGGCTGAGGCAGGAGAATCACTTGAACCAGGAGGCAGAGGTTACGGTGGGCCGAGATCACGCCACTGCACTCCAGTATCAAAAAAAAAAAAAAAAAAAAGAGAGAGTCGTCATTGCTAGGGAATTCACAAATTTTGCTATCACTGTGTTTTGTATAAGACATCTCTCATTTTAACACCTTTGAAAAGATTTTAATGGAAAACCTGCTTTATGATGCTTTGATTTGAAATGTATGTAACTTGGTAATGCTAGATTTTAAAGTTGCCAGTATTTATAACTTAAACTTTTATTGTTATTTAAAAGGAAAATACATTTCTATGTATATTGCTTACAAACAAAAGCACTGATGAATTAAGATGAAAGATATTTACGTGGGTATATACATAGACGTGTACCAAACCAATTGATAGTTACTTTTTGTTAACATACTCATGCTGTACGTAGGCATGTGTATCCTTTCTCAATTATTGCATCTATTTCCAACAGTAATACATCTGCTTAACCATTATCTTTAATATATATACACTATTCTATATACATTGTAATTAACTATTACTTTGATCATCTAAGGTATTTAATTTTTTTCACTACTGTAAGTAAATACCATGGTAAGTATTTTTTTACACACATAGCATTTTTCTTAGCATAGATCCCTAAAAGGGAGATGGGTGAGTCAAATACAAGAACATTTTTATGCTTTTAATGCAGAATACCAAGTTGGTTTTTTAAAGAATTTTGCCTGGGGTACTAGCATTTTGTGAAACTACTGGTTTTATATCTTGTCCTTAACAGGTTTGGGAATATGGTATCTTTTATTCTGCTGAGTTTCAGTATTTTCTCCAATTTTTTTAACACATTGCACTTGAAATGATTAACTTCTGATTATTTATTAATAAAATAAATTCAAAATCATAATGGAAATATTTAATGAAATTTCTCAGAAAGATTTTTTTGAATTTTCTTCCTCTTTAGGGGAAATTTGGAAAGTTTAAGAGGTATGTGGCCCATAGTACACATGTCACAAATGTTCGCTGGACTTATGATGACAGCATGTTGGTTACCCTAGGAGGTACAGATATGTCTTTAATGGTGTGGACAAATGAGATGGAAGGCTATCGAGAAAAAAGGCCTTGTGATAGTGAAGAATCCGACATTGATTCTGAAGAAGATGGGGGTATGTTATTTTATAATACTTGACCAAAAATATCAGGAAAATATAGCACAACTTATTTAAGCTGTAGAAGTTATAACAAGTAATAATAATATTTGAATAATTGTAGTGTTACTGTTTTTAGTCTGTTTAACATCAAAATCCATTTTGTGACTCAAGAACAACAGGTTGCCATGAATTTATGACTTAGATGTTATTTATCTACAAATGAAGAATATCTAAATTTTAAATAAGTACTGTTAAGGTAAATTTTATATTATTAAACCTCATATTTTAAAATAATTTTGATTTTCTTCTAATATACCAGTAATATCAGTTCATTATAGAAAATGTATTTTGCCATAAAAATTAAACACAGCCTCCATAATTTGACCACACAGAGGTAACACCTCTTTTAACATTTGGGGTATATCCTAAGATGTATGTAGCTAATATTTTTTTAAGAAGAGTGTGGACGTATTGAACTTATTTTTTAACCTGCTATTATTACTTAATAATACTTTGAAAACATCTTTACATATAATTAAATATTCTTCTACATCATTTTTTCTGGTTGCATATTACTTCAAAATTTGCTTATAACAACTTAATTTATTTCATATTGTTGAACATCTTTGTATCCAGTTTATAAGATCATAATTGATCTTGGTTATTGCTTAAAGAATAACTCGTGTATTTTGACTGTAGGCTATGACAGTGATGTTACAAGGGAGAATGAAATCAGTTACACCATCAGAGCCTTATCAACAAATATCCGCCCAATGTTTGGAATCAAGCCTCATTTACAACAAAAAGAACCCTCAACTGATGAAAGGTAATAATTTAGTAATATTAGATGAAGAAAAATATATTGCCATTAAAAATGGAATTTATCGGCTGGGCACAGTGGCTCACGCCTGTAATCCCAGCACTGTGGGAGACTGAGGCAGGCGGATCACAAGGTCAGGAGATCGAGACCATCCTGGCTAACTCGGTGAAACCCGTCTCTACTAAAAATACAAAAAAAATTAGCAAATTAGCTGGGCGTGGTGGTGGGTGCCTGTAGTCCCAGCTACTCGGGAGGCTGAGGCAGGAGAATGGCATGAACCCAGGAGGCGGAGCTTGCAGTGAGCCAAGATCGCGCCACTGCAGTCCAGCCTCGGCGACAGAGCGAGACTCCGTCTCAAAAAAAAAAAAAAAAAAATTGGAATTTATTGTTTAAGTGGCTTATTTACACAAACTAAGTAACAGTGTTATTCTTGCTTTAGACAATTCACAACACCTCTTAGAAAGTATGTCTTAGAAAGGTATTTAAAGTATGTCTTTAAATACCTTTTGGTGTCAGCCTGGGTGATGTAGTGAGACCTTGTCTCTATGGAAATATAAAAATAATCCAGGTGTAATGGTGTGTGTTTATAGTCCCAGCTACTTCAAAGGCTGAGGCAGGAGCACTGCTTGAGCCCAGGAAGTTGAGATTGCAGTGAGTTATGATTGGCGCCACTGTGCTCCTACCTGGGTGTCAGAATGAGGCCCTGTCTCAAAAAAAACCCCGCAAAAAAAACCAAAAACAAAACCCTATTGGTAGTAACACTATGTATTAACACTAGTGGTTTGGGGAATTATACATACATAATTTGTATTATATATGTTGATATGATTCATCTTATTTGCTAACTTTTATAAATGTATGTGATGAGGTTGGAGGAGATAATAAAAACTGAATGCAATACCAAGTACTTTTTAAGTAGTATGTGAGCGGTATTGTGATTCAGTTTTGAAAAGGCCTGCCTATCTGTGTGCCTTTATTTAAGCATAGACAATCCTCATTTCAAAAATTTTCTAAAAAGTCAGGTTGTCTTTAATGGGAGTTATTGGTCTTAGTCTAGAATCAGCAAATAAAAAAAATAAGGACATATGCAAGGCCATTTTATGAGGAGAGATCACTTTTTTTTATTATTATTATACTTTAAGTTCTGAGATACATGTGCTGAACGTGCAGGTTTGTTACATAGGTATACATGTGTCATGGTGGTTTGCTGCACCCATCAGCCTATCATCTATATTAGGTATTTCTTCTAATGCTATCCCTCCCCTAGCTCCCCACTCCCTGACAGGCCCCTGTGTGTGATGTTCCCCTCCCTGTGTCCATGTGTTCTCATTGTTCACCTCCCACTTATGAGTGAGAACATGTGGTGTTTGGTTTTCTGTTCCTGTGTTAGTTTGCTGAGAATGGTGGTTTCCAGCTTCATCCATGTCCCTGCAAAGGACATGAACTCATCCGTTTTTATGGCTGCATGGTATTCCATGGTGTTTATGTGCCATATTTTCTTTATCCAGTCTATTATTGATGGGCATTTGCATTGGTTCCAAGTCTTTGCTATTGTGAACAGTGCTGTAATAAACATATGTGTGCTTGTGTCTTTATAGTAGAATGATTTGTAATCCTTCGGGTATATACCCAGTAATGGGATTCCTGGGTCAAATAGTATTTCTAGCTCTGGATCCTTGAGAAATCACCACACTGTTTTCCACAATGGTTGAACTAATTTATACTCCCACCAACAGTGTAAAAGTATTGCTGTTTTTCCACATCCTCTCTAGCGTCTGTTGTTTCATGACTTTTTAATGATCACCGTTCTAACTGGTGTGAGATGGTATCTCATTGTGGTTTTTCTTTGCATTTCTCTAATGACCAGTGATGATGAGCTTTTTGTCATGTTTGTTGGCCGCATAAATGTCTTCTTTTGAGAAGTGTCTGTTAATATCCTTTGCCCACTTTTTGATGGGGTTGTTTGTTTCTTTCTTGTAAATTTGTTTAAGTTCTTTGTAGGTTCTGGATATTAGCCCTTTGTCAGATGGGTAGATTACAAAAATTTTCTCCCATTCTGTAGGTTGCCTATTCACTCTGATGATAGTTTATTTTGCTGTGCAGAAGCTCTTTAGTTTAATTAGACCCATTTGTCTATTTTGGCTTTTGTTGTCATTGCTTTCAGTGTTTTAGTCATAAAGTCTTTGCCCATGTCTATGTCCTGAATGGTATTGCCTAGGTTTTCTTCTAGGGTTTTTATGGTTTTAGGTCTTACGTTTAAGTCTTTAATTCACCTTGAGTTAATTTTTGTGTAAGGTGTAAGGAAGGGGTCCAGTTTCACTTTTCTACATGTGGCTAACCAGTTTTCCCAACACCATTTATTAAAGAGGAAATCCTTTCCCATTGCTTGTTTTTGCCAGGTTTGTCAAAGATCAGATGGTTGTAGATGTGTGGCGTTATTTCCGAGGCCTCTGTTCTGTTCCATTGGTCTATATATCTGTTTTGGTACCAGTAACATGCTGTTTTGGTTACTGTAGTATACTTTGAAGTCAGGTAGCGTGATGTCTCCAGCTTTGTTCTTTTTACTTAGGATTGTCTTGGCTATATGGGCTCTTTTTTTGGTTCCATGTGAAATTTACAGTAGTTTGTTCTAATTCTGTGAAGAAAGTCATTGGTAGCTTGATGGGGGTAGCACTGAATCTACTTTAAACCAACAAAGATCAAAAAAGACAAAGAAGGGCATTACATAATGGTAAAGGGATCAATGCAACAAGAAGACCTAACTTTCCTAAATATATATGCACCCAATACAGGAGCACCCAGATTCATAAACCAAGTTCTTAGAGACCTACAAAGAGACTTAGACTCCCACAAAATAATAATGGAAGACTTTAACACCCCACTGTCAATATTAGATCAATGAGACGGAAAATTAACAAGGATTATCAGGAGTTGAACTCAGCTCTGGACAAGCGGACCTAATAGACATCTACAGAACTCTCCACCCCAAATCAACAGAATATACATTCTTCTCAGCACCACATCACACTTATTCTAAAATTGACCACATAATTGGAAGTAAAACACTCCTCAGCAAATGCAAAAGAATGGAAATCATAACAAACAGTCTCTCAAACCACAGTGCAATCAAATTGGAACTTAAGATTAAGAAAGTCACTCTAAACCACACAACTACATGGAAACTGAACAACCTGCTCCGGAATGACTACTGGGTAAATAACGAAATTAAGGCAGAAATAAATAAGTTCTTTGAAACCAATGAGAACAAAGACACAGCATACCAGAATCTTTGGGACACAGCTAAAGCAGTCTTTAGAGGGAAATTTATAGCCCTAAATGCCCACAGGAGAAAGTGGGAAAGATCTAAAATCAACACCCTAACATCACAGTTAAAAGAACTAGAGAAGCAAGAGCAAACAAATTCAAAAGCTAGCAGAAGACAAGAAATAACTAAGACCAGAGCACAATTGAAGGAGAGAGAGAGAGACAAAAAACCCTTCAAAACAATCAGTGAATCCAGGAGCTGGTTTTTTGAAAAGATTAACAAAATAGATAGACCGCTAGCCAGACTAATAAATAAGAAAAGAGAGAAGAATCAAAAAGACACAATAAAAAATGATAAAGAGGATATCACCACTGATCCCACAGAAATACAAACTGCCATCAGAGAATACTATAAATACCTGTACGCAAATAAACCAGAAAATCTAGAAGTGGATAAATTCCTGGACACATACACCCTCCCAAAACTAAACCAGAAGAAGTGGAATCCCTGAATAGACCAATAACAAAGTCTGGAATTGAGGCAGTAATTAATAGCCTACCAACCAAAAAAAGCCCAGACAGATTCACATCTGAATTCTGCCAGAGGTACAAAGAGGAGCTGGTACCATTCCTTTTGAAACTATTCCGAACAATAGAAAAAGAAAGACTCCTTCCTAACTCATTTTATGAGGCCCGCATCATCTTGATACCAAAACCTGGCAGAGACACAACAAAAACAAAATTTCAGGCCAATATCCCTGATAAACATTGATTCGAAAGTCCTCAATAAAATGCTGGCAAACCAAATCCAGCAGCACATCAAAAAGCTTATCTACCACAATCAAGTCGGCTTCATCCCTGGGATGCAAAGCTCATTCAACATACCAAAATCAATAAATGTAATCCATCACATAAACAGAACCAATGACAAAAACCACATGATTATCTCAATAGATGAAGAAAAGGCCTTCGATAAAATTCAACACCTCTTCATGCTAAAAACTCTCAATAAACTAAGTATTGATGGAACATATCTCAAAATAATAAGAGCTATTTATGACAAACCCACAGCAAATATCATACTGAATGGACAAAAACTGGAAGCATTCCCTTTGAAAACGGGCACAAGACAAGGATGCCTTCTCTCACTACTCCGATTCAACATAGTGTTGCAAGTTCTGGCCAGGGCAATTAGGCAAGAGAAAGAAAGAAATGGTGTTCAGATAGGAAAAGAGGAAGTCAAATTGTCTGTTTGCAGAGGACACGATGGTATATTTAGAAACCTCCTTTGTCTTAGCCCAAAATCTCTAAGCTGATAAGCAACTTCAGCAAAGCCTCAGGATACAAAAATCAGTGTGCAAAAATCACAAGCATTCCTATACACTAATAATAGACAAACAGCCAAATCATGAGTGAACTCCCATTCACGTTTGCTACACAGAAAATAAAATATCTAGGAATACAACTTACAGGGGATGTGAAGGACCTCTTCAAAGAGAGCTACAAACCACTGCTCAAGGAAATGAGAGAGGACACAAACAAATGGAAAAACATTCCATGCTCATGGATAGGAAGAATCAATATTGTGAAAATGGCCATACTGCCCAAAGTAATTTAGAGATCACTTTTTAATAAAGTCTCTGAGCTAGATGACAGATTAAGAAATAAATTGTGAACCTGATCTTTTCAAAATCAAAGGTGGTAAACAATAAAAAGGGATATGGAGCAGTGAATGGCATGGA